AAATAAAAGTTGAAAACTGTTGAATAAAAAAAATATTAAAAACTGCTTTGAAGCATACAGTATATAAGCGAGAAATATTTCTTAAGAATTTTCTTTTAATTGTCAAACATGAAGTCAAGTAAAAATTCCTTCTCAATTCCTAAAAAATTTATAAATTTAATAATTTTTGTCTTCAATGACCACAAAATCCGCATAAATTATTTTTTTATTATAAAATAATTTGCGAATTGCTATATTATATTTTATGAATCGCACCCCCGCGACGAAAATCTTTTTTGAGGAAATTAAATTGTAAAGGGCAAATCAATCTTCGTAGTTAAGTCAGATTTAGCCTATTGTATAACCTATTCTTAAACCTATTTCAACAGGTCTTATACAGCTTATAGGTAAATAGGGTCGTGAAACATACAAAAATACTTGAATTTTAAAATAAATTTTTCAAAGTCTTATTTATAAAATCAGTAAATTTTGAATGAAAGAAAATTTTAAATATCTATTTAAGGTTATCAATTTCAAAAACATCACTGCAGATAGTAAGATGTTGGAAATCATTTTACAAATTTATGATAATGTATAAATTTAATTAATTAATATTATTTTTTCTAATTCAGTTATATCTGAAAAATTAAATTTAAAAAAAAAATATTTTTGAGTTGTTCATTTTGTTCTTTGCACATTAATTTATTATATCTTATAGTTTTGTGGCAATTACATAAATCATTTGTGTAAGAGTAGTAATTTCCTATATATGGGTTTTTTTGTTTTTAATATTTCCTGTTCTCACATATAGTGTTTTACAAACATATGTATATAAATATACATACATACATAATATAAATGTAATATACATAATACTATTCTCCTCATGTATTAAAGTAACTGCCATTGGAATGCGAAATACATACGATTAATTAGTTAAATGTAAACTATGTACATATGCATATAATTTTGTACAACATGGGTCGAAAACCTTTTTCAGACGATGGGATATGTTCAAAACGTTTTTTATGCGGTAGAATGAAACTGAACAAGTACTTCTATTGAAAAAATATAAAAAAAAAATTTTTTTTAAGCAAAATTTTACAGTTCTTATGTATGTATTTAAGATGTAAACATAAAATATAAAAATTTAAAATACATATAAAGTATATTAAATGTTAATAGTTGCATTAATTTTTGCATTTTGTCAGATAATTTTTTAAATACTGTTTTATAATTTAATGTTACAGTAGCAAATCGGCGAATTGAAATCGTCACACGGGTTGCACTTTGCCAACTCCTGTTGCATAATATTCACAAATTTATAAACTAATGTTTTACAAGTACATTATGTATAATAAATGTTTATTATATGTACATATATAAGTATATAATAAGAGTATTGTATTAATTGGTAAAAAAAGAAAAAATAAATAATGATTTTATGTAATCGCCGAGCAGTTTTTTTTTACTATCCACATTTGTGTTAAAATCTATTATATACGAGAATACATTTACATATATGTGTATAAGTGTATACGTTTTAATAAATAGAAAAATAATCGTGGAAAATCGAGGCTATATAAAAGTGATTTATGTGGTATCCTTTTTTTTATTACTTTTTATATTCAACTTGCTAATTATATTAAAATACATTTAAGATGGAATCCTCTTTTTTAATAGCTTTTTTATTTATTTGTTTTTTCCCTTAATTTTACATTGTTTTAATGATTGTTTGAATAGTTAGAATAGAATAGAATATACTGTGTATATATGCATTTGTTATGAGGTTACTCATTATAGATATAATAATATTAGTATGTACGGTAGTATCTACGGTAGGCTAGTCACCTACCTAGTTAACTCTCTATGACTATAGAAACTAGGGCATGATAGATATCATGCACTAGCCCTATACTCCTTATAGGAGTGAAGAAGGATAAAAAAAAAAAAAATATTAGTATAATATCAGTAATAGAATATTGATAAAACGAAAATATCCGAACGTTTTAAATAGCACTTTTATTGGTCACGATTTTTATTGTACAAATCTAATCAAAAATAAATTTGGATCAAACAAGTTATTTGTAAAACAGAGCAACTTCTTACAACAAGGGAAAACGCTATGTTTCTTCGTGAGTTATTTTCATTAATACATGTACCATAATTATACACAGGTTTGTTCTGATATTAAAGCTCTAATAGAGTAATTCCTTCCAGTTTATTAATAAAACATTCGTATGAAAATGAGATTTAGTATATTCTCTGACTCAAAATTTTGTGTTTGAGCAGCTATTATTCGAAAAATCACCCTCCAGAGAGTTTTGGACTAGAACCTTACCCCTCTTTTATAACGCAATCTTTCTTACATTTAGTATTAGAAGAGTACTTAAAAATTAAAATTTTGGCTAATTTAAATTAAGCGCAATTGTCTAATTAGGTGAGTTAAGATAAATAACAATATTTTTTGATATTATATTGTAAAATATAATATAGCCAAAACGTTTAACGTTAGTTTTTTTCTTTTATAGAAATTTCAAAAGGCTTGTACAGTTAGGATGCTAAGTAAATCGGTATAACCAAATATTTCACATTTGGATATACTCGAAGAAGGGCCCTTAACTTTTGTAAATATTAAAGAAACTTATTCGGTATGTTGAGCATTTGTTAAATAGCAGAAAGTTACCATTTTAAACGGTTCTAGCAAATGTTTTTAAGTAATTTATATATAATAAACCGCTGTAAGAAAACATGTGCAGTACTTTAATTTTCTAATTGAGTAAGTTGCAGATGGTTGATATATCAAACAACGTACATGGCTGATGGCAAATTAAAGGAAGTAAAAAATTTTAAATTTTTCGAAATTCAAAGTCATGTTACGTAAATTGGAAAAAGTATGTATGTTCATTTATTTATTTATTCATGAATCTGTCGAGTTCATCTGATACAGAAACAAAGTTATATTTGAAATTTAAAAATTTGAAAAGAAAAGCAGAGTGGTTACTAAGTTTTCATATATCAGAATCTGCCAAGTTGTGAAATTTGTCTCTAGAAGAGAATTTTACTTACTTAAGAGGTTCTGAAATGGTATATAAATGTACATACTTAACGCATATATGTGCCGAATTAACATGTCTTTTTATGTAGATATTAAAAAGACCCTTTTACTTAGCAGTGTTCATCTTTTGGGTCCTATATAACATAAACCCAGTCTATTTAATTGCTTCCAATTTAGTATAGGTTCACAAACCCAAATCTATATTATATAAAAAGATTTTTACTTAAAAAAATTTTGTACGCTAATTTTACTTTTCTTTTTATCAAATTCTTTTTATTTCTGAACTTTAGAAAAACCAAATGGCCGTTAAAATTTACCGTTACCTAGAACCCGTGTTTTTTCAAATTTTTGATGCCGTTTTTCTTTTACACTTTAAGTTACAGGAGTCTGCAATTTTAAAAACTCTTAGATATTCGTAAATAATTTATTTCGTTAGAAAATTTTTTCCCATCTCCACCCCCTCTCAAATTATCACCTCTCGAAATTTGTAAAATTTGAATATTTGGCACCTTATATTTGCGAAACCATAAGTTTTTTCATATTTCTATAAACCCAAAAAGCTAACGGTAAATTCCGTGTTATTAAAATATATAATTATTTTTCTTAACTCATGCAACTAAACCTTAAAATCGAGCATTATGCGAACCCTTCTTAAAGTTTATTATTTCTTTATTTCAAAGACTGCATAAATCGTTCATCCTAGATGTATGCAATCCAAGAAATAGCTTCGTATATGAATGAAAATAATTTTAGTAGTGTGGTAGGTATACATAGACTATATTTAAAAGCAGTTTTTTCATTTGTTGAAGGGAAAAGTGCTACAATGCAAACCATTGGTTTGACTCAACTGTTGGACAAAAGGGATGGTAAACTTTTAAATAAAACTTTCCATTTCAATTTCTCCTTATACATTATTAATCTCAATTGAATAACCCATTAAGTTAATATTGTATAAGAATTGTAGAGCTATTCTGCTCGTAGATAGAAATAATGTTACTCGTAATATAGAAAGGGAAAAAAAGGTGCAAGTTCTAATAAACCATTTTTTGTTCAAATGTGTACTAAACACTGCTATCGTTACGGGCGACCGTAACTGATTATTATATACTATGTGTAATGTAAGTTAAAGAAAACCCAAAACTATTATTTAATCGGATCTTATTCTATTTTCGTGAAAGGATTAGTTTTCATGAGAAATTTTATTTCTTGCGTTTTTATTTTGGCATTATAAGGATTTTTTTTATTTCGTATTGTTTTAACTGTCAATTTGAGTGTCAGATATCTTTTCTGAATCTTTTGATTTATGCAGAATATATATATTTATAAAAAGTATATGCACAAAATTATATTTGAATTATAAAATTTAGTTATAAAAATATTTTCCATATTTTAGTTTGATTAGTGGTAAAATTGTGATTAGTAGAGCTCTTACTCTAAAATACTTTATCCCTACTCTAAAATACTTTACTGAGTATTTTAGTCTGATGTTATATTTTTTGCAAAACGTGAAAAAATATAACATAAAAAAAAAATGTGTGCTTAATAATTTTACTTAGCTGATTTTACGCGTGTCTCTTTTCTAAGAGAAACAAAAAGCTATAAGAGAGAGAGCCACTTTATCTCTTTCTTGCTCTTTTATTAGCAATTAATTTTTTCTCCTTTGCAATATTATTGATAACGCTAAAAAATTAGCTTTGAAAATTATATTTTCTAAAAATGGAAAAACCTGTAATAGTAATATTTTCATACTTATTGAAAGATTATCTAAAAAGGTCAGATTTCTGTTACACATAGAATAAAAACAAAATTTTTGCTTCAATAGTGTTTTCACACTATTCTTAGTGCTTCTTATGTTAAAACATTTAGTTTCAACTTGGCTCTCTACAATTTAAAAAAATTTAAATAAATTAAGACTATCTACATTATATGTATTGAGTTATTTGTGCAGTTAAAGATCATAATTCAATAAAATGAAACAAGAATATATTTTTAGTTATTTTATATTAACAATATTCATCCCCCATTGTCGTGTCGATGCTAAGAGATGTAAAAGTTTTGAATATCGGTTCATTAATCATAAAGTATTTTGTGAAGCGGATTATGGTGTGACAACTTCATGTTTGGGACAGCCGTTTCCTGTAAAAAGGGCGCATGTTATGTGTGAAAATAAATATCATAATGATCAAAACATTTCTATGTTAACCATTGAGTGCTTAACTAATGGTACGTGGAGTGAAGAAATTTTTAAATGTCGAGCAGAATGTGACGACACTAACATTGAATTTAATGTGATTAGCAATCCCAAAGTCGAATACCCTCCATGGTATGTCGAAATAGTTAAATTAACTTCAAATGGAGTAGTAGAGGAAATATACCCTGGAATAATTTTATCAGAACGAAGAATTTTAGCACAAAAAAAGTATTTTAAAGACTTGGAGCGGAAGTATATTAAAGAAAATTTTCAGATACGAATACCAAGATTGAAATATAATAAACCTAAAGAGTATGCTATAAATTTTGCGGAGGATAAATTCAACGAATTAATTTATGTGTCTGTTGGGAATGAAAAGGACATAGTTGAAAAAACCACTGTTATTTATATACATTTCAAAGATTATATAAGATATGATGATGTTGTATTGCCTGCTTGTGACGAAACTTACTCAGATAAAGACAAGGAAACATTAAAACTTTTACATTTTGAAAAGCGTCTCAAAGATATCTGGTAAGATAATTAAAAATCTTAGTTTTATTTTGTAATTGAACGAAAATTGTCAATTTAGGTGGTATGAATATGTATTACCTAAATACAATTATTATGAAAATAACTGTTTAGTGCCACATATTAACAGAACTGGAACAGAACTTGCATGTTTTCAAAATAACGGTAATCCAACTGAATGTTTAAGTAGGGCAAATATTGTGTTACTTAGATGTCACATAGGTTACGAGCAAAAAATTTTTCCCGAAGACGATTACATAGACAAATGTCGATTTGCAAACGATTGGGCTAATGATCTTGAAGAAGGTAATGACTGTAATTTGATTTGTGGAGAGATCAGTGAAAGCTTTCACCGAAAACAAGTGCCTTTAATATATAGAGGTGATGAAACTCACAATGGATTTGCTCCGTGGCACGTCGCTGTTTATTATAAAGAAGAAAAGACAATTAACCAAATATGTGGTGGGAGTATTATTCATTCCAATATAATTCTGTCAGCTGCCCATTGCTTTTATAATGAGGTTTTTGAAAAAGTAGGCGACCCACTAAGCTATCTTATAGGAGCTGGAAAGTTTTATCGGCAATATGAAAGACGTGAAGAGTCAGAGTTTTATTCAAATGTAAAAAGCATACACATTCCTGAAACGTAAGGTTCAAATTTTTTATAGAAAAATCCTTTCTAAACAATACCCTATATAATTTAGGTTTAACTTAATGCTGTAGTAATTTTTTAATATTTTGTAATTAATTATATCTAATACTTACGATCTTTAATAGTTACGAACCATATCCATTACGGGATGATATAGCAGTTTTAATACTTGATCACCATATGAAATATACGCCGAATATCAAACCAGTGTGTACTGACTTTAGCTCGAAAACAATTCCTGGGAATTTAGATGGTCAAATCGTTGGATGGGGGGCAAAATCTGCAGAAAATAACATGAGTAATAAATTATTAGCTGCAAATTTAAGAACTTTGACGAGTAGTGAATGTAAAATTGTGGTTGGTCCCAAATATAAATCTGAAGTAACAAATGATAAATTTTGTGCTATAAATGAACATAGTTCGACCGCATGTGCAGGAGATAGTGGAGGTGGATACGTTGTAAAGAAATTCATTAACAATAAAGAGCGATATTATTTACTTGGTGTCATCAGTAGCGGTATTAACAGTGAAAAATATTGTACCGCCGGTTTTACAACGGTGCTTACTAATATTTCACTTTACAAGGATTTTATTCAAAATATCACCAACGTCGGTAGAAATTCAATATTTTTTGAGAAGCATATACGTGAGATTTTTTTGAATAATACGTTGGTTGTTAAGATACTAAATAATAGAAATTAACTGAGATATTTAGATATTTAACTTTAAATTTAATCTTATTTGAATATTTTGCAAATCAAATGAAAAAAATCATATAAACAAAACAGTTGTTCAAACGTTTTATTTTTAAAGTGTTTTTAGTAAAAATTTTACTAAAAGTTATCTTCGTATTCCAGATCATTCTGTGTTGGCAGGCTAAAGAGCTTCTGGGAGATGATGGAAGAAATTATAGCTTTGGAAAAGAATCAGGTGAGAATCCTCACCGCGGTCTTGTCGGGTGCCTGCAGACTTATGAGGCTCCTCAGTAGGCTGGGCCTGGAAAGTAGAGACACTTGTAGATTCTGTGGGAAGAAAGGGGAGACCTCAAACAAAAAAAGAATATGAAATAATTTTTTTAAAGAAATTACGCAACGTTTTTCTATTATTAAATCTTCGAAATTTGATTGAATTTAATTCGCGGTTGTAATTTTTATTATTCTTAGTAATAATTGAACATGTAAATCTGTTAAACTTGATCTTTCAGCCGTTGTATAGAAAACTATTGTTCACACAAATATGTGCTTCAGAACATGGTTAAAACACGCTTAAATGATTTATAGGTAAATAATTATAAAATTTAGAAATTTTCATTTCTCTGAGTTTTTGTTTTAATACAAAATCGCACAGCATTTCGATTTAAATTGTAAATTTGCATCAAGTGTTTCAATGTCAACAGAAAATGGAAAAGTATATATGTAGGTTAAATTCATTTTGACATCTATTAAAATCTAAAATCTTCTTTCAATTTCGGTTTTTAATAATTTATTCTTATTAGAGTATTCGGCAAATTTCGAATTTACTTAATGAGAAAATTCGGTTCCGGCTACATTTTACATACAATTGTGTATTTTTCGCATATATACATAAGTTTGAATTTTGGATGTGTGACAAACCTTCACATTGGTTTCAACACTTCCTTACTGATCTAAAACAATATTTGTAACAAAATTATAATTAAAGGATTAAAAGGATTAAGAGATAAAGGATTAAATTCTAACAATTTATCAAAAAAAATAGTTAATCTTGTGTCATTATTTCCTAATTTTGTTGAAGAATCGGCGATATTGTGACACATTACGACATTCAGATTTGAGAGTTTTATGGTAGATATCCGGGCGTGCATTTGGACACGTGACTGCAATTCTTCATTTTAAGCAATTTCACAAGACTTCATGGAATATCTGAGCTATAATTGCAAAAGTAGTCAACAAGTCATTTAATATTTTAGCGCAATTTTCAATGCGAAAGAACATTTACTAAATTGCGACCACAACAGGCCTTGGAAACTGGACTTATTTGCGGGCTAATTTTATATTTTTGGCCATATAAAAAGAAATAATCAATCAATTTCCTTGAAATTTAATATTTAAATTTGAAGTGTTAAAACAAGGGTTTGGATGGTTACAGTTACTTACAGTAGCCACTGTAAAGTTGTAAATTTTTTACAGTAACCAGTCATTGTAATCTGTAACTTTGTCTTAGTTTTTTTCCCTTGAAGATTTGTAAAAAGAATTTTGAAAATTGTAATAAAGAAAAATTCAAATCAAAAACAAGTACTGCACAAGTAAATAAATTAAAACATTTAAATTTAAGTCTTTTTTAAGTTCTTCGTTAAATTCATAAATGTAATCAATGTTATCAGCTTCATCTAAAATGGCATTATTAATATACGAGTATAATGAGAAAAGTTTTTCCATTTTATCGTTTGAAAGACGGTTTCTTTTTTTGTTATGAACAAATCGATTAATTGACCATGCTCTCACTGAAGAAGCTGAAGAACATCTCACTTCGCTCAAAATTAAATTTGTTTAAATTTCATTGTTTTAACTTAAAAGAACGAACACATAAACTTTTTGGCACGATAAGAGCTTGGAAACCCAACTAGGGGCCGAATTTACTTTTTTATTATTATATAATAAAATATAATATATATAATTATATAAACTAATTAATGGAATTTCTTGAAATTTAATATTTAAGTTCTGCTTTTTACCAAAACTAACTGGTAAATTTTTCAGATAATTCGGGTGCCACAAAGAGAAATTCTACTAGCCACATTTAAATTTCTCAAGGTAAGCTAACTAAAAGCTTACTAACGTCCTAAAAATTGGAAAGAAGTATTTAAAAGGCATTTTTATAATATTCTGTAACACTTTCACTAAACCAGGCAATGCACATTACGGTCGGTTATGTGATGGCCATATCACTTTTTTTTTATTTTGTTAACAAATCTGAATCGTATAGGCTAAACATAATAACACGAAGAATTATAACAATACGAGTATAACAATAACTTTTATAAATATCTTCAAACAATATTAATTTATAAACTGCCAACATAGTTTTAGTTCTTTAAATTTTAGCAGATACAAAGTTAAACACTTACAAATCTTGAAGTTATTGTTTTCCTATATGCCAATTCTATTCTTGCCATTGATTCAATTTTATTCTAACAATAAATACTCATATTATAAGTGATAGTTAAGGACATAATAACTTACTTAAAATAATAATTCACTTAATTATTACTGGTTGTGGTCAATACTTTGGTTTGATTGAGAAAAACAAAAAAATTTTTAAACGTATTTTTATATCTTCGGATTGGACTGAAATAAAAAAAATTTCCAACAGGAAATGATAAATCTACGTTGAAGGAACTACAAAAGAAAAAATTGTTTTTATCTAGAGGCAACACGGATTCTACATTAATTAGACTAAAAAATGAAAATAAAAATACTGTAAATTGGCTTAAAATTCATTTAAAATATGAATTAATTCCTCAGAAAATATTGATTTTTTGTTTTTCTGTTTCTCAACAAATAGAAACCTATCTACAGATAATTAAATACGCATATGATTTATTAGATAAGACAGAGAACACTTCAGAAATATTTTGTATTTTCAAGAAAAATGTAGCCCGTTTCCCAGTATGGCAAAGATTCTGCGATAATTCCGTGATTAACGGCATTCGCTTAATTTTGCAAATAAAAATAGTCTGCAATTAAGCAATTTTCGTAAATGACATTTTAAAAATTATTTCTCACTTATGCATCAACCTTTAAAGAAATACAAAAAAAAACAAACTAAAATAATTATCAATAGGGTTTGCAAGTCTTAAGAAAAATTCGAAATATTATATAACTAAGACAAGATTTTAATTTTCCTTTTTAATTGTGTATACAATAGGTAGGTGATGTCATGGCAACAAATTTTCATATCGGAGTTTTCGGTGGGAATGCACTTCTCTAATATAAATGAAATTTAATATTTAAATTCTTCGTACTAAAACAATTAACATATAAATTTTTTGTAAAGATCAGGGCTCGAAAACTGATCTGTGGACCGATTTTACATTTTTCACCATAGCTACGGAACGAATTGATGGAATTTCTTGAAATTTGATATTTGAGTTCTGGTTGTTACCGAAACTAACTGGCGAGCATTTCAGGGAATTCGGATAGCACAAAGAGAAATTCTACTAAGAGCCAAATTTACATTTTTCTAGGTGTGTTAACTATAAGTTTACTAATGTCCTAAAAATTGGAAAAAAGTATTTAACAGACATTTTTATAATATTCTGTAACATTTTCACTTAACTAGACAATACACATTGCGGTCGGTTATGTGCTGACTACATCAGATTTTTTTTTCTTTAAATATTTACGAATACCGTTAATAACCATTTTCGGTTTTAAGTTAATTTTGCTATAATACATCTAACGCAGGCTTTTTAAATTTTCTTTAGCAATTGAATTTTCTGTAAAGTAATATGAATGTGGAATAAGACACTCTGCTTCTGAGAACCTCATTTTATAGTACTCATACTGTACAAATATACATAGTTAAATACATAGTTTAATGTACTACATGAATATAATTAAATTTAAGGTTTTTCAAACAAAATTTAGTATTCGATAATATGAACAAGTTTTTATTTTGTATTCGAATCAACAAAATTAACCAATTACTATCATTTCAGGTTTCAAAATTAAAATAAATTAAAATTATTTTTACCCCAAAAATTAATTCCATTTTAATTTATTTCTTATTAATATTTGTACCTTTTAAAGTAATTATTTTTGAAAATAGAATGAATGTATGTGTATTCGATAAAAAAATATTGGTTTTTGTCCTTTATTTCGGCAACCTTTGTTATAAAGGTTGGTTTAATAAAGGGAACTTTTTCTTATACTGTTTGTAGGTGATATTTATTTAAGAAATTTAAAAGAATTGTGGAAGAAAAAGGTCAAAAAATTTAAAAAACGAAAAAAACTAAGAACAACAAGATTCTAAAAATAAAATTATGTAATCGCCACCTAATTTGCAAAAAGACTTTAGAGGACAAGAAAACTGAAGCTTAATTTTTATAAGGTTGGGATAAACCAATAGTTTGTAATGTAGCATTTTTCCTCTCAACAAAGGAAATTACTGCTTTTAAAAACAATTTCTGTATACTATGTAAATTTGTTTCATTTATACACGAACATATTTCAAAGATTGCATACATTTGGGATGAGCAAATTATTATCTTTGAAATAAAATGAAAAACAAATTTAAACAATTGTTAACAAAATGCTAGAATTTAAGGGTTTATTGCGTAAGCTAAGAAAAAAATAATTTTTTTTGATGGCATGACATTTACCGTTGCCTTCCTGCATTTATAGAAATTTGAAAAAACTTGCAATTTCGGAAATACAAGGTGCCACAAATTCGAATGTTACAAATTTCAAGACGGAATAACTTGAGAGGGGGTGGATGTGGAAAATTTTTTTTTTAAACAAAATCTATGAGTATTTATTAGTGTCTAAAAGCTATTAAAATTTCAGACTTCTAGAGCCTGAGATCTAGAAGAAAAACGATATCAAAAATTTGGAAACAACGGACTTTAGACAACGATAAATTTTAACGGCCATTTTGCTGCTTTAAAGCTTTTGGAGAGGGAAGGGATAGGTAAAAATTTTCTTCTACGGCAATAAGTTTCCTAAATCTATGTACATATGAAATTTTAGCTTTCTATTTTCAAGGGTGTAGTTTTGTAAACATGTCCACGGACT